GCATAGACTGAAAGATCAAGAAGGCTTTTTTTACCTGACCTGAGAATTAAAGGATTAGATAGAAGAAAGTCAGGCAAATGGGTGTTGAGAAGCAGGTAGACTTCCAGGCAGAGTAAGATAGGCAAGGAAGAAACTTCAGAATATGTTTAGGGAATTACAAAACATTCAGCATTGCTGGAGCATAATATTTGAGAAAAGGTAAAAATCATGGTGAGGCTTAAATATTTTCTCCAAAGGAAAAGCAGACTTCCTTCAAGATAATACCTGGTTTTCCTTAGTTGTGGCCAAAGATCAGATGGGGCAAATTGTCTTGGCAGCTCTTTCTATACCCTCTCCTCTGATAGAACTCCAACTCATCCATTAGTGGATGGGAGGATGAAAGATGAGAAGAAATGGCTTAGGATCTCATGGCATATGCAAAAGGGCGATGAGGCTAAGGATCAAAAGGAGAGAAGGGAAGGAAGGAAGGAAGGAAGGAAGGAAGGAAGGAAGGAAGGAAGGAAGGAAGGAAGGAAAAGAAGAAAAGAAAGGAACTTTCGTAAGTTTGATTCTTGCTGGGAATATTTATAAAATTTCCTAAAATTTGTAAGGGGTAATAAAAAAAAATCAGCCCAACTTTGATATTCAAGGTATAGTTACATAAATCCATACAGAGAACTGTGTTTTGTGTACTTATTTAACTTCAAATGCACTTTGTTGTGCTCTGTTAAACAATTAGGTGGAACATAATTAAGTCATCCTTCTGGAAAGCAAGAAAAGACTTGTTCCAAGGAGAGGATATATGTAAATTTTATGCCTCTTCCCCCTTTTTCAGAGACCAGGCCATGAATAACTGGATTCTGCCTTTCTTCTTTGTCTCTTGCAATGAAGCCTGTGGTCTTCCAGGTGGGAGAAAAAGTCTGGAGTCCATAGAAGTAAAATAAAGTCTGGTTTTGTGGCATAGTCATTGGGAAATCTTGTACAAATTCCAAAGAGCCCTGAACACTTAATTCATGGAGTTACTGGGGTATTGTATGAGGCTGTGTAAAAGCACATGCAATAAAATTGTTATGAAGATCATCTAAGGAATTAAAAGCATGAAAGATTGCTCACCCTTTGTTAGAAAAGACATCTGGTGACTTTGACATAGTGAAAGAAGAGATTGGCTTGTCATCTTGTATTTTCAGCTGTATAGGTCGTTTCACTCCCCAGAAAATGTCCAGCATTCCTTCAACAATTAGTTTCCCATCTTCAGTCTAGAAAGAAACCAATAGTCTCTATAGTTGTTTCTGTATTACTTATAAAAGGTAAATGTTTTCACCAAAGTTGTAGAAATTAAGTTCATAAGAAATGTTAAGAGGTTAAAAAAATCCTCAAAGGAATTATATGACTTCTCAGTTTATCTGCAAAATAATTCTATCTTTGACACATTTTTTCAATTTTTGAAAACAGCTGTACCCAGAAAAGTGAGCAAGTTATAATGCTAACAGCATGTCCACCAGAGGGTAGAACACGTGAGAATGCTTTCTGAACTCTATACTTCTTCAATTAAGTGGAATTCTAATGCTCTAATACTGTTTAAAATTGAAGCCTTTTAAAAACTGTATTGAACTAGAACCTAGAATAAAGTCATTGAGGGACTCAGCAACTTGTTTATTCATTTCTAAATGAGGCTGAATTTAACTCACAAAATGATGCAGAACATGTGAAATAATACTTGTGAAATACACCATAAGATGCAGAACATAGAAATATTTGTAAAAAAATAAATATGATTTGAAAATTCATTTTGAATTAGAAATAGTACAACAAAAGAAGAAAACATCATGCAAACAAATTAGCATATATTAAGAACAATTAGCATATATTAAGAACAAAGAATATTCCTATAAAACTTACTTTCTAGTCTATTTCTTTATAAAGAGTTTAGTTATTTTTTTTAGTATGGTATTAATTTGGGGAAGGTAATTGAAATATCTAATTGTACTAAATCATTTAAGTTCAGTAGTAAAAGCTAGAGTGTTGTTATAGTTTAGATGTGGTATCCCCCAAAAACTCGTGTGTAAGAGAATGCAAGAAAGTTCAGAGAAGAGATGATTGGGTTGTGAGAACCTTAACTGAATCAGTGATTTAATCCCCTGGTAGCGATTAACTGAGTGGTAACTGAAGGCTGGTAGGAATGGTTGGAGAAGTTGAGACACTAGAGGAGTGGCTTTGGGGCATATATTTTGTTATCTGGTGAGTAGAGTCTCTCTCTCTGCTTCCTGATCACCACGTGAGCTGCTTCCCTCTGCCACACTTTTCTGCCATGATGTCCTGCCTTACCTTGAGCCCGAATGAATGGAGCCAGCCTTTTATGGACTAAGACCTCTAAAACCATGAGCCCTCAAATAAAACTTTTCTCCTCTACAATTGTACTATTGGGTCCTTAATCACAGTAATGAAAAAGTTGACTAAAACAAGTGTTTTTAAATTTCCTTCTTTACAACTTGTAAATTTAAGTCACATCATAGTGGTTGAAATTCTATGCTGCACCCTCAAATCTGGAGGTTTAAATCAGGAGTAGAAAATTCTAATGTTCCCTGAAGCCAGAACTGTAAAGAAGTGAAGAGAGTCAAATTAGAATATGAGACTGAGTGCAGACAGCTAAGGAGACTAAAGCATTCAGATTTTTAAAAAAGATTAAAAAAAAGAAAACTTAAGATTACTTTGTATAGTAGCATGCCAGTTGCACCCCTAAAAATGCATTCTAGTTTCATGACTTTCCCATACTGTTCAAAATTTTTAAATTTGTTGTTATGATATGGTGTATATTGATCAGAATCTAACTATCCATTTGAACAACCAAATCAAGTTTGAGTTTATAGGTGATTTATTTGAATACTCCCCAGTGGTAGACTTCAGATACCTTCAAATTTTCTCCATTAAAAATGATGTCACAACAAACATCCTTTTATATATATCCTGGTACATTTGTAAGAAAGTATTATGATAAATTTCTAATGAAATAGCTGCTCAAAACATATTCACACTCCAGTTTTTAAACATAAAGAGAATATATCATTAGAATTATTTTTAGCTGGGTATGACAGTGCACATTTATGACCCCAGCAACTCAAGAGGCAGAAGCAGGAGGATCACAAGTTCCAGGCCAGCCTCAGCTACTTAGTAATACCCTGCCTCAAAATACAAAGGGGTAGGGCTGGGGATATAACTAAGTTGGTAGGTGCTTAACTCATATGCATGAGGCCCTGGGTTCAATCATCAGCACCACAAAAAAAAAAAAAAAAAAAAAAAAGGAAAAGAACAAATATATAAATGGGATTGAGACATATGTATCTCAGTAGTAGAAAGCCCCTTGGTTCAATACCCAGAACCAAAATAAATATATAAGAAAAAAAATACTTTTAAATGCTTTCCTATTCCCAAAATGTTTGGAAGATCACACATGTCCAGGCCTGGTATTCTGTGATATAGTCTAAAAATAGAAACTAAAATCAGGTTAAAGATTCACTTGTTTCTCCCAGACCACTTGTGCTACTAGGTTATAGACTCTAACCCATTCTTACTCCTCTGAACATTTACAGAGTATTTTTCTTTCTGTTAATCAAACTGGGATGCATTTCTTTGATGGTCTTACCTGTCCATATAAAATATGCAAATTTTCCTGGTTCCCATAAAAAATGTTATAGGTCTTCAATAAAGAATGAAGCTGTTCCCTAAAAAAAAAAATAAATAAATATTACATTCTGTTGCTATTGGTGTTAGGCTTTGTAACAGCAAAAAGACAATAATAGTATTTATTATCTCTAGGTTTCTAGAAAAAAAATGTTTCAATGGAATCTTTCATTATTCTGTCACTTTAACTTAATGTAAGTCTTGGAAAGTCAAAGCACTGTTAGAACATTAGCATACATTGAAGATGCTAATGCATAAAGAAAACCAGACAAGGGAAATGACTGAGGAAGGTGAGGTAAGTAGAGCATGCTGTAGAAGGAGGTACCCATGAAACAAATTTGGTTTCGCATTTTTGATTTGTTTGGGACATTTAACGAAGCTAAACTTAGCACCTATATTCCTAACACATTGTCCTTCCCACTGGTGCTACAGCAAGGGTTAAGGAATTGTCACTGCTGCTGAGTTGTCTCACCCTTAGTGTCAAGTGGGCTGTGGCAGGTTCCAGCCACACTCCTATCCTCCTGTGTCCTTCTGTGTCCTCACATTTTAAATGTTTATTGTCTCTCACCTGGGTTACTGCAATGGCCTCCTAAGCCTATCTGTTTTGTATTCTTAACAGCTTAAATTATTTTAATGCAAACTTGACCATCTTTCTCCTTTGCTCACAATTTTCCAGTGGCTTCCCATTACTCATAATAAAATCTAACATACTTAAATTGAATTAAAAGGCTGGATGGGATCTGCTCTCTGTTACTTCTTCCCTCTCACTTCCCACTGCTCTTTCCTTCACTTACTGTATGCAGTCTTAGGGCCCCTGGATGTTCTTGAGGCACACTCCAATCTCAGGTTTTGAACTTGCAGATCCCTTTGCCCAGAATGATGCCCTTCCCCACTATCACATCACTCATTCATTAGTTAACTATTTAATCAAAAGTAACCTTCTCAAGAGTCTTTCTTGACTACCAAATCTAAAAAGTTTGCCTTCTCCCATCATTTCAGATCCTGTTTGCCTCCTTTACCTCTTTTGCCTCTGCCCCGAGACATCATCTAACCTTCTATAAATTTTACTTAGTTATCTTATGTTCTGCCTTCTCCACTAGAGCATAGCTCTATGGGGGTAGAGGGTTTGTCTGCTTTATTTTTTTTCACTTGGCACATAGTAGGAACTCAACAAATTCTGATTAAATAAAATTATCAACAAATTCTCCTCCTAAAAGACAATGACAAAGGGAGAAAAAGCTTTTGTTATAGAAGCATCTTTTATAGGAAAAAATCCCATGACATTAAAATTCCAAGTACTTCAACTGTCAAAAATCCCTTTGATCCCCAAATATCTGTCTCCTTCTCCTAAGCCCATTGGCTCCATGAGGGCAAGCAGTTTGGTCTCTTTTGTTCACTGCTATGTTCTCCATGCTTTGAACAGAAGCTTGATCATAGTGTGCTCTTATGCAATCAATAGTAACTGAATATTAAATGACAAAATTCATATACATTGATTTTTCATGTTAGAAATCATATGAGCATACATTCTGTACTGGATTTTCCCTGCTTGGAATTTTCAGTGTGCACATTTCCAAGGATCCATACCCTCCATACAATTACCACATGAAAAGATTCTCCAGAAGTCCTCCATGCTGCTGTTTCATTTCCCAACAGGGTTACTCTAAATTTTTAATGTTAATGAATATTTCTATTCTAAATATCATTGGGTGCACTGATTTTTCTTCCCTCAGGGTCATTACTGTGGGATATTTGCTAAAAAAATTCACTACTTCTAAAGAGCCTCTGAGCACTTTTATGGCTCTTATTATTTAGTGCTAGAGCATCACACAGAAACTTCAGTTTCACTTGGGATGTAACTCCTGATATGCTGAGCTGTGAGGGTTGTTATGAAAGCAAATGAACTTTTACATAATCTTATTCCCTCAGCTTCGGCTTCTGAAAAAATTTCATAACACAGTATAGCACAAGTCTCCTTCAAAGTATTTTCCCCAGGATTTTGTACAGTTGGAAAATGTTTCCGTTCCTAAACAGAATCTGACTAAAAGTTTTTCCACTGAAATGAGTCTCCAAATGACCCAGGGAGTTAGCAAACTGTGGTCTTGGGCTGCCTGGTTTTGTAAATAAAGTTTTATTTGAAGCTAGCCACACTAATTTGTTTGCTTATTGTCTATATGGATGCTTTCCTGCTATAATTGCAGAGTTGAGTGGTTGAGATAACCACTGTGTGGTCCACAAAACCTAAAATATTTATAATCTTGCCCAGTGCAGGAAAAGCCTGCCAATCAATGTTCCACTGTATAACACAGGGTAACTAGACACCACAGAAGTCTTCCATATTTTCCTACCACAAGTAGGATCTTTTTTATTGAGTATACATAGCACTTGGAAAGATTTTGGATTATAAGAGATGATTAGAATTCAGTAAACTCAAGTATTAAAATAAAATTAGGTACATTAATGGTGTAAGAGTGAGGGATTAGAAAATTCAGAAGTCATGTAAACATCAATAGCAATGGTAGATACATTACAAAAATGTCTTGTAATTTTATGTGTGTTATCAGACTTGAAGATGATTGTTTTATATACCTGATGGAATAGCAGGTCGAATATAACACTGGGAATCTAATGTTCCCATAACTTTCTAATTTGACTTGCTGGCAATTGGAGGTATGAAGAGCTGAAGAGTTACTGTCAAATTGATCACCTGTGTCTGCTGACTAATTTTAATTATGCCTGATAACAGAAGGCCCACACTAATGGTCATTCATTCACATGGGGTCACTGTGTAAGCACACTTGAGGAGCCTCATTCATACGTAGAAAGAGGGTAAGAGTTGATACTACCTACTGTGAATCTTGATGGGTAATAACAAGAAGAGTGTCAAAAGCTCATTAGGCAAGGGAAACAACATGCACAACATATCATTATTTCTATAGTTTGTGAAGAAAACTCAGAGAGTTGAGGATCTAAGAGTATGACATGTGAAGTGGGGAATAGTGAGCAATGAGCACCAAGAAGCATCCTGAGAAACTTAAACTTCATTCTATAGGACATGGGCAGCTAGGGAAGGTTTTAGGCAATATAAAAATAGGATGATGGTAAACCCATTTGGTAGTGTGTGGAAGCTGGATTTCAACATAAAACAAGATGTTGGCAGTAGAGTGAGTGAGAATATTTCAACATTTGGACAGAGGTGTAGGAGTAAGGCTGATGTTCCATGGAAAGATGATAGGATGTCCCACATATATGGAAGGATCTAAAGTCTGGAAGAAACCTAAAGTAAGTATAGCATAAGAATTTATAGTTAGGAGATTTAAAATATTATCAAGGCAGTTTCTTGTCATTAAAAAGGGGACACTGATTTAATATATGCTAGTAGGGTATGTCAGTATTAATTTCAGCAGAAATTTCAGAGCCACTTAAATGGACCCCTCTCCCATAAAAGAAAAAAAAAATCTGTGCATCTTTCTCCCTCAACCCTTAAAAAGTTCCCCACCCAGCATAGATCAGCTGCTTAGTACAGGCTGCTCAGATGCTCTAACAAAGGTTTAAAATGGTATAAACTTGAGATTTGTAGAAGTCACAGAATTAGACATGAGGAAATGGACATGAGGTTCAAACATACTTTACACGTGACACATAAAAAAACTGATTTCCTAAGAAAAGATCCCTTTTCTCTGAAACACAAAATATCCTATCACAACATTTAAGGATTTTCAAAAAATCATCACCCACTCTATCATGGACATGGTGTTTTTACCTGAGGAATGCCAAACTTCATATATACTGAATTTCTAAATAATGCACAGACTCATAAGCTTCTCTTAGGATAGAAGTTGGCACTCTGACACTGGCTGTAAAGGAGAGGATTCTGATGGATGCTCAGAATTCTTCATCAGAGCCTCTTGCAGAGAGCTAGTCTAGGAAAGACTTGCCACTGGGTGGCAGGTGTACGGAGGGATGGAGGAAATCCCAGAGACTCTGTTCTTTTAAGCTCCTGTTTGGTTTTAATGAGTAATAGTGGACCCAGAACAAACCATAAAATGCTCAGGTGTACTTTGTACTGTGGCTTGAAATGCAGCTGCTCAACAGATGGGAACCACCACAATCTGATGTTTGCCATGAATAATACATTCAGTGAGAAATGAGTTCTCCAATCTCATTCAGGCTATTTAGCTGTCTAGAAGAAAAAAATTTTATTTGATTATATAAACCTGTAAAAAACCTGAGCATGGGACATGATGATAAATGGAAGTGAATCATGCCTCACATCTATAGATAGACAGATGTCAAATATCAGTTGTAGTAAGAGTTTTTCTTCTTGTTTTTATAATGATTAGCAACATAATTAAATGGCAATTCTATTTCTTCCATTGAAATTAAAAACCACTGTTCCACTCTTGCTTCTTAAAAATTTAGACCTACTATGGGCAAAACATAAATATCACATGTGGTAGATAACCCAACACAAATTTCAAAGGCTGCTAAATGATGTAAATAAACTTCAGGAGAAAATATGACTACCCAGAGCCACCAAAGGCATATTTCGCCTTTTGCTACACGTGGCTGACCTTCCTGAGTTTGTTTCTTGTGCTTCTTGGAGACTTGCTGAAAAATGTTCATGGTTTAAGATGAGCTACATAGTGACAGCAGCATTCTGCTGTGTGTGTTGCCATGCTTAGAGCAGAAACCCAAAACTTTCTCCTAGAGCGTCAACAACAACAACAACAACAACAACAACAAAAAAAAAAACTAAGCCAAAATAAAACACTTACTTATTCTTTTGTACATTTAGTTTTTCTATCCCCAGCCTTGGATTTTGTTCATGATGTTAAATTTTTAGCAATGAGATGATTCAACAATTTCATGTTAGCTACCAAAAGGTGAGTTTAAAATTTTCTGTTTTTATAAATAACTAATAACTATACAAGTAAAGTTAACAAGGTGAGTATTTGCTGGGATTAAATTTGTGATTTTTGTGTGTTGTAATTCTGTATACTTTCCAAACTATTTAGTAAGTATGTCACACTTTCTTTGTATTTTTTCATAATTTAACAACCAAAAAAACCAGTACAAACTTTTGCCTTTTTAAATGTTTTTAAGGTGGAATCAGGACAACAGAAAAGAATAAATAAAGCCTTGTCATTAAGCCATTTGCCAAGACAAGCCCTCATTCCACATTACAGATGTCTGCAAGCAGAGGCAGAATTCACTCTTTATCCTTCATTACTGTCCACTCAAATCTTGGAAATAAAATTGCAAACTTTGGCAGCCCCTCTTCTATAAGTGGCGGTGGCACGGATCTTCTTGCCCTTGGCTTCATCCAGGCTCCACTGATCAGGAAGAATGTTTTCCATCTGGGCAGAGACCTTCCTCAGCCAGCCAAGTGGGTTATTCACATTTCCATTGCAAATGAAGGGATTGGATTCCAAAGGCTGAAAACTGAGAAGTTGGGGTGGGGAGGGCTATCTTGACCAAAGTAAAACTGCAAATCCTAAATTATCAGGGAGCTTCACATTTTGTTGAACTTTCCTGACTTCAAAGCCCAGGAGAGGGGCATCTGTGTCAAAGGGGCTGCCTCTTTGAAAAGGAAGTTTCCTAGCAACTCTGCTGGAGTATCATTAATTATGATGGTGGTTGGGATGGCAGAACCTTCTATTTATTTACTCTGCCCTTCTATGCATTTCTAGCCTTAGACCTTAACTCCTTCAGTGCTGATGACTGTCAAGAAAAAGAATCTGGGGATTTCTTGCAGTCTATTTGTGATCTAATCAACAAGGTAATTAAACCATACTTGTCTCATTCCCAACAATAAACACTCTCTGGCTGCTTAGGGTCATTTTAAAACTTTTGTATTTTCTAGGACATTCATTTTTTCAAGATTGCCCCTGTAGAAAATGGCGTTTGGGCTAACTGATGGACAGAAGTCTTGTCTTCACTCAGGTACTCAACTCCTAGGACTCAGAAAGAGCAAAAGGATTAAAGATTAAGGAAGAAGGCCCCAGTATTAAAAGAAACTTGAAGTGATCTGCCCTAGCCTCTAGTGAGCAGACACAGAACAAATACCCAAAATATTTTTTATGTAAACTTCTACTTGGACAGGAGTTACAGCAAATTGAAACAGTGTCACTAGTTGTTAGTAAGGCATGGACAGGGGAGTAAAAATGAAGAGACAAAGATAGCATGACTTTTTTGTTTAATGCTAGTGCTTCTGAAGAAAGCAGAAATGTACTCCAGATCTGATATCTGGTCATTTTTCAGAGGACCCTTTCATAAGGGTAAATATCAAAATTTGATACTTTAGTACCTAACATGCTTTTCAACCTTAAATGAGAGGATGTACTTATCTCTTCCCTTTCCCTTAATATTTGGCTCCTAAAGTTTAAAGGAAAAAAAATTTTAAATGCACAACCTGTTGTTCCAATTGGTACATGCAATGAACTGCTGCCACATCAGACCTCATTTTTCTGTTACCATAAGCAGCTGACATCCTTGTCCTCAGAGCAGCTTATGAAGCTAGTGGACAGGAAAGAGGGTGAGGAAAGGCTCTGCCCTATCCTCTTCTCTCCTGGCCCCAGAAAGGCAGAAGCAGGCTCTGATTCATGGCCCTGATGCATTCACGAATCAGTACCAATTTTTATATTTTGATAGTAATCCAAAGTAGAAACTTGAACTTTGGATAAATGCAAATTTGTTTCTTGTTGTAGGTGATTGTTTTGGAGGGAACTGATTGAGAAACATTCAGGGGTAAGAAAGTCCTATTTGAAAACTACAGGAGCATCATGTGCCCCTGAATGTATAGACAACATGAATTCCAGGTGTATATCTACTCGAGTTAGATATGTGGTTCTCAAACTTGAACTAGCATCAGAGTCACTCAAAGGGCTATTGAAACTCAGATTGCTGAGCTGCATCCTTAGTTTCAGTAGGTCTCAGGCAGGTACTGACAACATGCATCTCTAACAGGTCTGCCGGGTTCTGGTGCTACTAGTTCAGGAGCCACACTTTGTATTCCACTCTTTTCCATCTCAGGTCACTGAGAAACTAGGTGATATATATATATATATATATATATATATATATATATATATCATATTTTATATATATATATATATATATATATACATATTATATATATATATATATATATATATATATATATATAATATGTATTTATTTATATATGTATATTTAAGAGACAGGAAGCTTTCTACTGACAGACTGCAGTTTTAGATATGTGGTCATTCTAAATAGAACTAAAATGAACACTAGTAATCAATGTAGAAACTTGTTCTTACATTAGAATAGCAGCACTATGTAGGTAATCACCCTGCCCCTTTATGTTGAAACAGTATTTCATTCAGGGTGACACATGTGAAGTCATACCAATGCTTAGTTCTTTGAGGCTAGTCATTTCCATACTCATCTGTATTCAACTGAATTTTACTAAGGAATTACTATATAACAGACAATATAATAGATTCTAGGGATCAGTAATGTTTAAGAAAAAAAAAAAAACAAACTAGGCTCCTGCAGTGGTAAGATTCACTTTCTAAAAGAGGATGAGAAAAGAAAACAAAAGAACAAATAAACAATTTTATAGAGGAATAAATTTGATGAGAATAATAAAACAGGCTTATGTGATATAGCACTAAAGAAGGTGACATTTTAGAGGAAGTCTGAAATAGTAAACTGGAATGTCAATAATGGAAAGGAGCCAGCCACAAAGAGTCAGAGAGAGAGTTTCCAGGCAGGCAATGATGGAACTGTTGTGTCTTGTATGCAGGACTAAGCTTGGCATGTTTGAAGGAAAGAAAGAAGTAAAAAGTGGTTCAAATGAAGTTATAAAGGCCCTCTGGGCCTTAGAGCCTACACAAGGAGTTTGCATCTTACTCCAAGTGCAGCAGAAAACCTCTGAAGTTTAAGAAGGTAGGTGTGATTTACATCCCAGAGAGAGATTCTGACCTATGGGGGAGAATGGACTGCAGGGGCAGGGAATGGTAGAGATAATGGCAACTTGGACTGGACGGTGAAAGGTAGTTGGATTTTGGAAGTATCCTCACTGTGTAGAGGATAGAAGTGGGAGAACGGAGCAAGTAGACTGGTACCTAACTGGTACTTAGGTCTTGCTTCTCTTTCCTCCATGGTTTACTCTTACATTTTATCTTTTTCCAATGTGAGCCTTTTAGATTTTTTTTAAAGCCAGTTGAAAAGTAAACAGAAATGCCCCACACAGAGCTAGTTATTGCTGAAGCAGAGGCCAGCATGCTGTAAGACAACACCCTTTGCATATGGAGAGCTAGGGCTATTGTGCAGGTGGAAGATGACTGTCTGGCTTCACAGTCTGATGCCCCTTGTTCCCTTGGGAGGGGAAACGATCTGCGATCTGCCTCTTTTGTTTAATGAAGTCTTTCACTTATTCTACTGATATGCCTTCCAGCCTCATGGACCTCTGGGACTGTTACTTAACACAACAGTGGCCAGTGATTCTCAGGGTCATCAGTGTGAGCATGAGCTGGAGACAGGAGCTTTCTTGTCACATGGCCTCTTCCACTCACTGGCTCTTGCCTTGCTGTCCATGACCCTGGCCCCTGATTCTTCCTATTTCTGACAATATATTAATCAACCCATTGTTTCTATTCTGTGTCCTCCATCTATTGCCTACGTTACATCTAGAGAATACAGAACATGTCTAATCATACCATCTGCTTTGCTTAGCATCCTTAAACATAAGTCTTTCTGCTGCTCTTGGGACAAACCCCCTAAATTCTATCACAGCACATAAAGCCCTGAGTGGTCCCTCTCCTGCCTTCCTATTTAGCCATCTTTTAAGAGATATTCCCTTGTGTCCTGCACCATAGCCACCCTGGGCACATTTCACTCACTGATACTCTGTGGTCTGGGATCATAAGGAATAGAGGGAGACTTCCCCATGTCAGGAATACACTCCCACCAGCTCCCCTGAACCTTGTTAGCTCCCTCCCTATTCAGATCTCAGTAGAAACAAAATTTCTAGGAAGAAACTATCCTAGACACCTTTGTTTAGGCAGGGTCCTTCAGAATATGTATCTCAGTTTGTCTTGGGCCTTCAAACCTGCAGTTCTCAAAGTGTGATCCCCAGACTACAGCCCCTGCTTAGACCTGCAAATACTCACCAATGCCAGACCAAGTGACTTAGACACTCTGGGGATGGGGCCCAGCATTCCTTATTTTAACAAGTCCTCCAGATGATTCTGCTAGACGCTCAAAATTGAAATCTGCAACTTCAGACTGTAAACACTGTAAGACTTGGCTCCTTGTCTGTTTTTCTCAAAACTGAATACTAATCCAGTTTCTGGCTTATGATATGCTCTCAAAAATCATTTGATTAGGGAATAAAATATAGAAAAATGAATCCTGACCTACTAATAGGGTCAAAAATATTTAATTAGTGTAGAGACACATCCAGAAATTCAGGTGAATTCCATACATGTAATATACTCTGAAGTCTTTGAATTTTGACTTCATCAGACTTTCTATGGAAACATTTCATCTATCTTGCAAAGAGCTATTGTTTTTCCATTGACTGAAGTGATAACATAGGCAATGTGTAGTAGGTAATTTTTACTGTGAATAATAGATTATACAATAGGTTTTTGTCATATTGCTATCCTTAATGATTATTGACAATATGTTTATTGGAAAATATTGGACATAAAGAAAGCTTAATACTATCCTTTTCCCACATACCTGTGGGTGATGTTATTGACCTTCTATGACATAGTAACATGTGCTAGCCAGCTTTTTATAATTTATTTTCACTGGATAACCAGATATGAGTAATATAAATTAAAAAAAAAGTTTCTCATGTAGAAAAAATAACTAAATTTAAAAGGAAACAGTTCCAAGCACATGTTTCAGACCCTTTGTTTCTGGCTTATTTTGAATCTTGACTCCTTTTTATAAAAGTATGTCAGAGAGGTCTCCACTAGTTTCGTTAAAGACAGAGATCCAAGGTTTTGCAAGACAGTGATGCCCTCTTCATAACCCTGTCTTCAGAACTGGCTGACACTGACTCCTGCACAGTTTGCTTTTATTCTTTTGATCAGGAGAAGACCCTGGAGATGGAACCTGCCAAATGCTTCCCTCTGGCTCTAAGGGCAAGGTAGGAGGTGGCCTCCTGAACACTGGTTCTTTGTGTTTAATTTGTACTTTGAGGTGCAGGTGGCTGGTTCTTTTGTTTCAGCAAAGAGTTCTGGCCAACGTGCTTGGAAAAATAAACTGTTTGGAATAAAGCACTTTCTGCTAAAATTTATTACATCATGCTAATTAAATGCATTCACTAAAGACAGGAATGCATGTGTGACTTTCAAGCTTCTGACAGAAGAGTCAAACCTCCAAGGGTTTATATCATGTTCCTAAGCAGCAGAAAAAGTCAAGTTCTGAGAGTGAAATCAGATCTGTGCATTTGAAACTGGATTGGAACTTCTGGGTTTTGTTTTGTTTTGTTTTTGTGTTTGTTTTTTAAACACGGAGCTAGCATTTATGCACCTGTGCCCTGATTTCAGCCTACTACCTGAAATTAAATGCTATGAAAGCAGATACACACAACCAATTTTTTTTTTTTTTTTTTTTTTTTAGGTCAGAGTATTTGCCATTTGAAGCAGCAGAGCAGTGTTGACTCCAGGCAATGAAACAGCAAGTGGAATTGTCGTCACTTAAGCATGAAGCTAACCAATGCCAACACCCTTCAGCCAGGAACTTTCTACCCTTAGAGAATGCTCATCCAGGAATAAGACACAAATATTATGCTGCCTACAATACCATTAATATCAGGACCTCTTAACTTAATAATCATATATAATGCTCATGAAACTTGCTGAAAGAAATTTTCAATTACATAGATTTGATTAGACTATTAATTTCTGTTGTTTTCCTGTATTTTTGTGCAGAAAAATGAAAATACCTTAATAAATTGATCATTTCTACCTTGTTTACTACAAAACAGTACACATAGAGAGTTGCAAAACTACTTAAAATAAATGAGTGTGTGTGTGTGTGTTGGAGCAGGGTAATGTTTGCAAGATTTGTGGTAGGTTGGGTATGAGAATTGGCTAGTGGCATTGTTATAATTTCTGGTTAAAGTTTTGCAGAGATTTCTTCTGGTTCCAGGAATGTTGTTGATGTCAGGAGGTCAGAAGTTCTGAGAACTTTAATCCTTTTTTCCTCTGAGAAGTTCTCAGACTTCAGAATGTATCAGCATCACCTGACCTTGATTTGGGAATGGAGCCCATGATCTGTATCATTAGCAAGCATCTGATGTGGAAGTGGTGCCATGGACCACACTGCAGAAACACTGTCCTCAAGTCTGGTGTTTGTGGAATTATGCTACGATATTTTTACTTCACATTTGGAGCTCTAATTAACACATGGATCTGAGAGCCTGAAAGAGGCTCTGGATTACAGAATACAAACTACAAGTCCTTCATTATGCCAGAATATGACACTAAATAAAGGTCACTGATCTCAGATTGTTCTTTGGAAATATCCTCCAAATAATGTCCACTGGGACATATTTTACTGCAGAGAATGAAATGGGAATGCACATAGGTTCTCAAAATGTGTTAGTCTTCTTTCTCTTATATTGATAATTATCAGAAAATTCTTATAAAATTGTTTCTAGAGATTAAAAATTAGACTTTTATATAAGGTTTTAAGGCTAATTTGTAAGAAAGATGTTATGGTTTGCATGACGTGGTGACTACCAGTATACGGATATGTGTCTACTCCAGTGGAAGCAAGCGATAAGTTCACACTGTATTACACAGGTAAACAAAAGAAGGAAATGTGGTGTTCTGGGATGACAAGTTACCATTGGCTGGTCATGGCTACAAATGAAATTTTATATAAATCCATTGAGAATAGAACCAGTAGCTCTATACAGGAGAAAGATGAAGTTGTTCTAGAAAAGATGAAGATGAAGGAACTCCAGGAATCTAGAGAATAAAGATAAACATACACATAAAAATGGCCTGGATTAAGAGAATCAGGACCTCCAGGTGCAGACAAGAGTCAGGAAGGGCACAGAGGCTTCTCTGCCACATTTGCTTTGGAAATTTGTCAGGGAAGTGAGGTCTTTGCTCATGGAAAGGCCAGTGAGTGCAGCCAGAGAACAGGACTGCCATTGGGGCTGCCTGGCGCCAGTTTAGAGTAGGTTCCAATCTGAATAAGGAAAGGTCTATGGAACTGAGAGAAGCCTTTGCTTCCTTGGGATAGAAGGTAGAGAGCTACTGTATCACAGCTGAAGTAGACTGAGGGAAAAGGATGGTAACTTCAGACCAAGAGGGACGGCCTTGGTGTAGCAGTGTCCTGGCAGGACAGGGTGGGAATCATACTTTTGTGAGCTGAATTGAGTCAAGCAGAGCTGCATAACAGGAAAATAACTACACAGGTTGTTCATCTGCCTCTAAGGCTACATACTGTCTCTTCTCCAAACTTCCCTCTCCGTCAGTGGAGTAAATTTGTTTTAATTGCACAGAAAACCTGTAGGCAAAAGGAACACAGGTGCAGATGGTATCTTTAGAGGCACTTCTCTTCCTTCTGTAATTCTCTTTGGGAAGAGGCAATGAGGGAAGGGGACTATCTCTCAGTCTTTTCCAGCACCTTTCTGTCCCCCTCCTTCTGTTTTATGTGACTGTGACCTTCACTGGCCTCTGCCTTTCAACTGCCCATCTCCTCAACTTCCCTTTTTGCGAATCTCCATCAATACTTGGGTTTCCTTGATGACTCAAAGTGGTGTCTTCTCTATTTTACCCTCTACACTTGCTTTTCCTCTCTGTCCAGTCTCCACATTCATTCTGTCCACTTTTCACCGGAGGCTCTTCTGCCTCGCCTTCTGTTTTTTCTTTTCCAATTTCATTTCAGCTTTTTCTAACATTGGTCCTTGAATCTTCATATTTACACTCATCCCCTTGGTGATTGTATTCAATCTCAAATGTAGCATGTCCAGGAATTCTTGGTCTTTTACCCCAGAATTGCTCTTTCTTGTGTCTTCATAATATCAGAAAGTGTTACCCCATTCGTTTAGACCAAAATCATTACAATCATACTGGACTATTCTTTTTCCCTCATATCTCACATCTAGTCTTTCAGGAAATCCTATTGTTCCTTCCTTTAAAATATAGTCTGTCCCTCTGTCTGAGCAGGGCATTGGTTCTAGGAGCCCCAACAGATAACACAATATTCAGATACCCAAGACTCTGACATAAACTGATGTAGGATTTGCCTATCACCTCCAAAAACCTCTGTAGACTTGAGATCATCTCTAAATTATTGAGAATACTCAATACAGTATAAATGTGCTATATAAATAGTTGGTATGTTATATTTCTCAGGAAATAATGACAAGAAAAATGTCTGTACATCGTCAATACAGACACATTTTTCCCCCTAATATTTCTAAGTTGAGGTTGGTAGAATTCACAGATGTGGAACTCATAGTTATTAAGTGCTGACTAAAATCTGACCATATATATAATTTTTTCAACTTCCACTGCTGCCACCTTGGTCCAAGCTACCATCATCTCTACCCTGGACTATCAGCTCCATGGTAATTCTCTGCTTCCACCTTTGCACCCTCTCCAATGTGTTCCTAACACAGCAGCCACACTGGTATTGTCACTCATGTGTTCATATTCTTCCTCAGCTTCTTATTTTATAAGAAAGGTCAATAGCCTATGAAATAATAGTCTATGAAACGCCAATGTTCTGGCCCCATTTTGTCTCTGTCTACTTCTATCCCAAACCTTCTTCACTTTCCCCTAAGGTCTTTCTCTTTCAGTTTACCTATACTGGCCTCCTCAACACTCACTGATATGCACCTGCCTCTGGGCTATGGACTTGCTCTCCCCTTTGCCTGGAATTCTTCCAGCCACATACCTGCAGTTTTTGTTCCTATCCTCTCTCCCCTCTCAGGCCTGAACACAGAGTCTTTCCCATGGGCTACCTCCAATATTCTTTACTCCCTTTACTATTTCATTTTTATTTCTCACAACTTTCAGCATTTATCCTTCATATGGACTATATCCCCCTGCTCCTGGGCACAAAATATAACTCCCTAAAAGTAGGGTTTTGTTGGGTTCGTTGCTGAATATTCAGATTCAGAAAAGTATCTCTCCGCAGTGAGCAGTCGGTAAGTATTTGAGGAATGAATAAAGGGATCATCTCTTTCACTTTGTGTCTTCTTCCTACCTTCATATTTCACCCTTGTCCTCTAGCTCTTTAAATATTTGACCATATTAGTTCCTCGTTCCCTCTGCTTCCTAGTCCCCAATCCTGCATCAGTAGCACCCACTTCCCTGTTCCATTGGCCTTATTTCCTTTCCCATCCCTTGTTTGACTTGGTCATGGTTATTTCTTTATTTCTTTTCTTTTTCTTTTTTTGACTGTTTTTTTTCTTTTCTAAGTCTTTACCTGTGCTTGGCCAGGTTTAGTACTCATCTTTGCTCTTAAAGTTTTAAAACCCTTCCTCTATTATTTCCAGAGCAACATAAGATGCTATAACCATGCATAAGAAAACAGTTGTGCATGTTACCTGTATATTAAATAACCAGCACACCAGTGGGAACCAGGAAAAAAGAAGTGTGTCCTGAGGAGCAAGGAAGGGAGAGGACAGGAGAGAACACAATGTTATTGGCCACAGAGCCAATTCTTTGGGTGTATCTTTTATGAGGAGCCTTGGAACCTTCACTTAATCCTGCTCTCAAGATCACTGCAACTATTAAAGCAGAAATATAACTTTTATGGAACCCAAACCACCATTAATGAACTATGAGTGACTGTTCCACAAGAGAGTATGGTTTTAGTGGTCTTAGGAATATACTTTTTCAACTTCTTATCCAGAATCTCAAGTGATGATTCTAACTGTTGATCTTGTTAATCATTTATCAAGCTTATACAACTCTGAATGGTATATTCCATATTACTTCTATCCCAAACCTTCTCCCCTTGTAGTCTTCATAATAACAAAAATGTTAACCCCATTCACTGAGCAGGTAACTGGTGAGCAGGATGACATATAATATAGGTATATAGTTACCTGGTTATGAATGTCCTCTCATTGATGAAGATCCAGGAAGGGTACTGGTGGGCCATCATAGTCATCTTCACCCCCTTTTGAGATGGTATGAGGATACCCTAACCATAAGAATAATGTTAATGATTTGTTCTTGTGATGCATTCATAAATTAGTTTCTTACTTAAATTGAATGTTTGATTGTGTCTCTAGCATATAAGACTATTTAGCGGAGCTTTCAGGTGATATTTCATGCATGAGCAAAAAGGAGAAAAACGAGTTGTGTAAATTGAAAAACTACAGATGCAGTTGCTCAAGGAAGGGAAGGATTGGGCAATTTGGTTTTTGATGTATTTTTCGAAAGAGTCCTCTTGTGTATGAATCTCTAGGAGCATTTTCCTTCAATTACAGCAACTTAGCCCCAACTAGCTGGACCCTGCCCTAGTCAGCCCAACACAATTTCAAGTTTCCAGGCAACTAAAATCAAGTTCTGACTCGAAGGGTTGATTAAGGATGATATAATATCCTCATGTCTCCTTCAGGCTCTGGAAACCGTGGTCAGATGTGAATAATCTCCTTCTTTATGAGTTCATGTAAATGGCATTAGGGTGTGGTCAGAAATTTTAAGCAAAATATTTTCTAGTTCTAGTTTTTGCAGAAATTTAACTTTGAATTATCCTTGCTCCAAGCTTACAGAATCATAGGAAACATAGCTAGAATAAAAAGGTGGGATGGAGAGGAAAGTCCAGAAAAAGAATGTGCGCGTATAGAATATCCTTCTTTTACTTTTAAATCAGGTTATTTTGGTTTGGTAAGATGAGTGGATACCAGGAAGGAAGAGAAAAGAGCAGCAATTCTGCTATTCTCATATAACCCCTGAGGTCTCTTTTCCCTTGTAGCATTTTGTTCCTTTCCCCAGGCCTCTGAGATGAATGCTTGACTGGAGTCCCCTTTTATGCTTTTACCATTCTGCTCTTCATATCACCTTTTTGGGCCCAAACCTCCCTGGCATCTCATTCTTAGTAAATTCAGCCTAATTCATTCAATCTGACATTTGAACTTTCTGTTATTCTACCCAAACTCTCCTTTTTAAACTCAAAATTGAAGCAGGCCTTATATTCAAATGAGATTTCACACCACTGAGTCTCCTCTCATGGATTCCTCTTGCACTGGAAGGTCCTAATCCCCTCAAACCCAGCCTCTGCTTCCTTTTGGTCCTCACTCAGGTGGAACCTCTGTAAGTCTCCCCATAGCCTTTTTATCTGCATCTCTATGATTCTACTTTTGGCTTTCCATTATCATCATTACTGATTTGTGCCTAACTTCATTCTTTATTGCTGTCCTGTTGCTCAAAGAGTGGTGCTCCCCTGTTTGGGAATGTCATCCTCTTTGGCAGCACATCACTGGCAGGGGTCTGTCTCACCAAGGACTTGGTCAGAAGTTTAGCCAAAGCAACTCTGCAGTATGGGAGCCATAAGGGCAGGTTAGACTGCCCTGGGACATCTGAGTCCATGAGCCCAACAAATCTCATTCATT